CCCCAAAACCCCAAAACCCCAAAACCCCAAAACCCCAAAACCCCAAAACCCCGAAATTATTGATAAGTATTGAATAATAGTTTAATAAAATGGAGTCTTTGGCAAAGCTGCAACACCTATCGTAATTTTCCCAAATTATTTCTATAGAGACAGCTCAGAAGGTACTTCAGATTGCTAGAATTTCCTAAAAACTAAGAGTGCAATTCTTAAATCTACGTTTCTCGCTTGTTATAATTTCCTTATATTTTAGCAGAATCTTATTGGGGTTTGAAATTACATGTTTTAAATTTTATTCAGCAGGAGATACAACTTCTAGTTTTCTTCTTTATACCGCATTTGTGTCTAAAACTTATCAAAATAGAATCTTTCGAACTAGCAATAGAGAAAAAGAGTCTGGAAAAGGACAAACTCGTTTTTGAAACTTCATCTGATTGTCTAAGTGAAGATAAAGAGTATCTTTAACAATATTGACAGTAGTGAAGAGGAGAATAAAGACATTCAGGATTCTATTTCTATAGAATCTTTCACAATTAGGGCAAGAGACATCTCTTCTAATATTTTTGAAGAGAATAAGAATCTGGAGATTATCCGCAGGCTAAGTATCAGGTAAGCCGCTTGGAGGAATCTCCATCAGTTCAAAAATTTATTACACTCTTTGGGTATTAACCTTCTAGTGAAAACACTATTCCTCAGATTGCCAATACTGATGATAGTGATAGTTGTAAGTGAAGTTTGGAGATGAGTATAGCATTCAGCGATACACAAGATGGATTAGGAAATCTTCAGATTAATCTCCTGATGGGAAGAGATAACCATCTAGTAGCAAGCTCTTCCTCCTCCAGCCTTGGATCTTCAATCATTACTCATTTTGGAGGAATTGGAGGAAGGAATTTAGAGATAAAGGTAGCATATCCTTGACTTTAATAGGCCGAGCCATGAGACACAAACTTTAATCTGATCCCTAAAGAAGACGTTAAGAAGCTCTTAACTTGCTATATCTGATATGGACAAATGGGTAAGGCCTCAGCTGACCAAATATAGGTCCCAACAATAATGCGATGTGAGCGAAGTGCTCAAAGACTTATTGCGGATGATGTATGAAAAGAGTGCTTTCAACTGACCGAAAATGCCCGAATTGCAGAGTCAGACTCCTCAAAAGAAGTCTTAGAAAGAACCTCTTGATTGAGGAGATTTATGAGACTCAGAATAATGAGGAATTACAGTCTCAAACACCAGAAGAGCAAAGCATGCTTGAATGCCCAGAGCATAAAGAAGGCATCCAGATGTACTGTAATGCATGTGAGGCTTATGTCTGCATTGAATGTATCAGCTCAGGAAAGCATACTGGCCACGACCTGAAGTCTCTGAAACATGTATTCACTCAAGTGAAAGAGACTTCAGCAGAAGAGAGTAAGAAGCTTGGAGAATACATTGAAAATCTTGAAGTTTATGAAAACAAGTTCAAAAAGAAAGGAAAAGTTGAAGATGTTGCTAAAGCTCATCAAGCTATTGAGAACCTCATAATTAGCATTTTAGATAAGAAGAAGACAAGGACTAGCCAGTAGTTTATTCTCTAAATTTGTAGGGCATATGATTTCCTTGACAATAAGTCAATGACTATTTCCAATAAAAAGAAGAAGATGGAATTGCTCATGAAAAAAATTGAAGCTTTTAGTAAGCAATTTTCTAACTTTAGCAAATGAAAACTCTACGAAGCAACCCACAAAGTCTAATATATGTGCACTGAAAGGAATGTGTAAAGATATTAAGAAGAATACTGAAAGAAATTATGACAAAGAATTAGAAAAATTTTATAATGAACACTATCTTAAAAGAATCAAACTTGAACAAAATTGAGAACCCATAAATGTTACCCTCTTGGTGAAAAATCTGGTCTCTAATGCACAGGCACAGATGGTGTTGAAGTATAATGACAAGAATTCTTTCTTGGAAATTTCAGAAGATCAATCGCATAATGGAAATTTTGATATATTTTTGGAAATAAACAATATTCCTGAAGATTTTGAAGCAATAGTGATCTTAAAACATAAATTTAGCCAAGAGTTACCGCAAGGAATTCATATTGATATTATTAATATGGATACTATTATAAAGAAAGGAGAAAAAAGAGTGAAAATCGGTAAAATAATCGCCCATATTCCTCAAGAATCTGACAATAGTGGTGAGATCACCCTAACAGTCACAGTAGAAGAGCTAACAAAAGAGGTTAAGAATACAGAAATTCAGATTCTTGAGAGCCTGCAAGCTAATATTGCTCATAGAATAGCTGAATTGAAAGAGAAGAAAAGTTAATCTTTTATTTTCAATATTTAATTGGTTGGCTGGGGTTTTGGGGTTTTGGGGTTTTGGGGTTTTGGGG